GTCTGCATAAGAACCTTGGGATTTGTCTCAACATATTTAATTGGACTTAAAGTGTGCGCTCTAGGAATAAGAGGCTGTTGTTAGCATGAACTTAAATAATGCTAATACAGGGTGCAATTAAACGACTACAAAGAATGGCTACATGAGTTGCCTTGCCTGCCTCTTAGGTGGCCAGACTGCATTAAGAAGCCTTAATTTTGTGGCTTCTTTGATACTTTGAGCGAAGTCCTGCCCTCAGACATGCACACACAGCTTCCATTGAATTAATACATCTCCTGTTTATCTCTCAGTGCTACATCTAACCCTTTCTCCAGTCATAGACTCCTTTGACAGCTCAGTGAGTGTAACATGATTCATCCTCCCCTCCTCCTTCTCTTCCCTTGACTAGACACTAACAAACATAACAGAACTTGAGACAAGAGAAAGAGGCCCCTTATAATAAAAGATTCAATCACATCTTACCAAAAACAAAGGAGGGCACTAGCTACTGCATGAAGCTGACGCCACTCTTCCAATTGAGGTACATAAATAAAAGGGAGAGGATGGCCAATACATTCACCTCTAGTGTAAGCAGGTGCAGCCTCTCAGGCCTCCATGCCAGTGCATTTGCTTAGGGCTGAATTTGGCCTGCACAATAAGACTGTGTATCATACAGTTTTAAAGGACCTGAACTGTTCCACTAAACTTTACTGATTTTCTCTCTGACCCAAAATACACATGCATGTCTCCTCGGTGATATAATAGTAGGAGAGTTCCTTTACATTGTACATATGTTTCTTTCCTCTGGGTACATGTGTTTTGTACTTGCTACATACCCTTACCTGTCTCCTTCACCAAACAGCAGCAACATCCCCACAAATGCTATATAATTAACTACTCATTCATTATGTTAGCTATTTTCTATGTTGTGCATTGGACCATAGTGTAAATTTGTTTGATTCTGTAAGAGAGTTCTTGTCCAAAAGGGGAATGCGACTTCTGCTCCTAAATGCACAGTTATAAGTTACTTTTAAGAATGTCTCTAGAACACAACTGGACTAGTGACAACTCTGGGGTTCTCTTGTATTCTGCCCTGATTTACTGTGTGACTGCAAACATCTCACTTTATACAAGAGATTATGTATACATAGACCTAACATAAGCAGCACACAAGGAGACAAAAAAAATAGCATATAGAGACAAACAATTTATACACAGACTAGGAAGACTTTTAGAGACAATGTCATCATGAAAGAGGAGTTAAAGATGGTGAACCTACAATAGATATCTGTTTTTAATGCAGATGAGGAAAGATGCATGAGGTAGTAATACAGATACAGCCAACACTAAGTCCTAAAAACCAGTTTCTTATTCTAACAGTGGGCAGCACTATCTCCTTCAGAAAAACTGAAAAACCCTACATTCTATGGATTTGCCATAGTCTGCCTCCTAGTTAGATAACTAAAGACAATTCTAAGTAATAATGTATTACTAAATAATAATAGTCATAAAAACAGAATAAGTAAGAATTAGCTCAAGTCACTAGTTTGGAAAAAACTGATTTTGTGAAGAATAAAAAGCTTGAATTGGAGAACATAAATGGAGGATGAAGCAGCAAGACAAACCAGTAGCCTGGCTAGATCAATTGGGAGAGTACAAGCCATTGAAGGAAACTCCAGGAAGTCATGCTGGAGTAATAGAAGCATTTTAGTAAAAGTAATAATGAGTATCAGTGGAGAAAGGAGTTGAAAATTTTGCATTAATTTATATTCAGGCCACATTAAGATGATGCCAAAGAAAGAAACTAGTTTTGCATTTACTAACATAAATGAACTCATTGTCCCAAACTTGTAAGATTTAAAAAACCCAAAACCAAACCACAAAACACTCCTGAGAGTGAGAATGTATTAACAAAATATATGAAAATGAAAAAAGTTATTACAACTTCTTTGGAGGGAACATATCATATTCTCCACAGATAGTCCAGAACACAATTTTCTGAAGGTGTACAAAATACATCCGTCTTTTGAGCATTTTTGATAAAATGACTGAGCACATCTGTGTGAGGTACAATATAAGCCTGAATTCTAAAAAATCTGTTATACTCTTTTATCACTAAGTAAGTATGATGCTGCTACTCAATATCTGATGGTGAAACACACACTTAGGAAGATCTAAACAAGATTTCTTGCATACAAGTTAACTTCATTTTAAAACAATAAAATCACATCTTTCTTGCTGCATAACAGATACTCCAGCAAGTAAAGGATGCTGACTGAAGCAGGAAAGGGCAGAAGACAGAAGAAAGCAAGTTTCCTGTTGAAAAAAATAAAAAAAAAAAAATCAAAGCACATAAAGACTTTGATGATGAAAAGGCAAGAGACAGTACTCATAGTAAACTTGCACACATTCTCCTAAAATGCCAACTTAATGTATTACAGTACTTATTCAGATAAAGATCATAGATCCACTGTTGCCTTCTGACACATCAAGAAAATGGTGTTGACCGATGGAAACATTTGGTCTCAAATCAACAAGTCAGCATAAAAATGTGGGACCTACTGTCAACTAAGCTATTAAAATGCAAGTAAGATACACACTTAATAGATCTATAGCAAAGCAACAAATTTTTGCTCCTTTCCAGTGTTAAGTTAAGGTCATCCTGCTTAACAAACCACTTCATATAGACTCTCAAAAAGTCTACTCTGCAGATAACAGACAGCTGAATGACTGAATACTCTGGGTCATCCAAAAAATTAGATCAAAGAGTCCCTGTAGTCTATTGAAATGCAATTGCTTCCAAATCACATTGTGGTGTTCCAGGCTTGAAAGAATGGGTCACTGCAGTTTTATTGTAGAGAAGCTATTGCTAATGAAAGGAACAATGGAAAGATTAGTGCTACCAACCATATAGAAGAAACACCACTTTCGGTTTAATTGCAGTGAACAAAGCAAATAGGAAAGAAGGGCAACCAAGTGACAAAAGTAGTTGGTGCAAAGAGGATATAGAAGCTATTCACAAGGTTCTCTTGATCAGAGCACAGCATCCAGACTTAACATATGATTACTGAATTTGGATCACAGTAAAAAAATGACGTGGTTGTCATTACAGACAGCTGACGACACATTTTTAAGAAGGCAGCCTTACAAACTGAAAGACTAATAATCCTGTTGACAGTTTCCCTGGGATTCGTTAGGTGCACAGAAATTAATAAATGGATAGGGAGAAAGGAACAGTTATACTTTATTTGTGATAGGAAATTATTTGTGCAGGAGATTATTATAAGTAGAGGTTTACTTCATTTACCAGTTTAAAATAACAACTTAAGGTGAAATTTATTGAACCTTGGTACCGATTAAAGAAAGAGTCTAATTTGTGATAATCTAGGTACCGAAAAAGGTTCTGCCGTAATAAATTTGTTCATGCCACACAGTATTTATTCTCTTTTGATCAGTTTCTGGATCTTTTCTAGGTGAAGCTCACCAGTCATAACAGTACCTATGTCGAGACAGTGGTAAAAGATACATTTCAGTCTCAGTTAAGATCACCACATTCTGCTTCTCTGTGACCTGAGGCAGACTTGAACCTTCCTTCTCCAGACAAGACTTGACAAGCCCTGCTTCACTTAGCCCATAAAGCATGTTAAAAAACAAAACGTGACCAAACAGGGGAGATCACCCAAACTGTAGCTGCTGTGTGCAGGCAGAGCACTTCTCTTAGAGGAAAAGACAAACACTGCAATAGGTGAAAACAGGTTTTTTCACAGTAATTATGGTAAAAAAGCTAGCAGTCATGAAAATGAAGCTTCCACAGAAACAACTAAGCACATCCGATATTAACAGTTCAGCACTACAAACACTACTTAAACAAAAGGAAGCTTCATTCAAGTTCCTGGCACCTGCTCCAAAGTCACATTTGCAACTGTTCAAACAAACTATAAGGTACTAATTCTTCTAACTTGCTGAGAAAAAAAAGTAGAGCATTCAAAATATAATCCAGACTACTTCAACCAGTTATCAGTATTCAACAGCTCTTCCTAATGAACCACCCTCTTCTCAAGTCACTGATTACTAATTCAAAGGAAACACCGGGTGTCTCAAGTACTCCTTTATTGGTCACACAGTTTAATAGCCCTTACGGACAAGTACCTTTGCAAAACAGATTTCTAGAGGGTGACCCAACATATCCTCTGGACCTTAGTCAACAACAAAGCATACAGATAGCTTTGTATAGCTAACACTATTAAATGTCACTGCTTTCATCTGCATCCGTAGGAGATTGCCTTGCAAGTGCAAGGGCTTAAACCTAAAAAACATCAACAACAATTAATTCTGTAGGTGATTCTTCTGAATTACATCAGTAAAAACTTCTCTGCAAGCAATGAACACTGTCAAACATATTTTGAATCACTTGTGAGTAATAATTTTTCATGAACTTGGATGACAGCCATAAATGAAAAATATGCAATGATGATATTTAACACATTCATAAGAGATCAACTAATCAAGACTTATAAACCCAAATAAAGCTGGAATTGTCAAAGGAAATGAAAGGAAATTGGTTCATAACTACTGCTGGCTGAGCTAGGAAATTCACCCTTCCTTAAAGCAGTTAAACCTAGGTACAATATTTTTTTTCTCATAAGCTTATGGATCAATTTTTTTTCTTTATTCATAGTAGCTCACAAAGGCAGGAAGAGCATTTACTTAAGAGCAAGCAAAAAATGTATAAACTATCACAAACTATAACAAAATTGCTATGGGATAATTACTAGAACTACCAGCCAGTCTTCGGTTTTTTTCCTGAAAGACTGTGATCAAAAAATACAAAGGGTGTGTTGCAGTTCATTGGCTATAACTAAACCTCTTCTGTTAAATGCAATAGCAACTTAGTGGTATTAGGAAAATCACCAACTGGTGTATGGTATCCTGAATGTTATATAAAGTACATACCTTCAGCTACTACTCCATGTATGAAAATACTTTCAATGCTGATTTGTTTTAAAAAAAAAACCACTTACCAAGCCTACACATGTAGATATTGCTACTGAAGAGGTGCTATCATTCCTTATAAATCCCTGGTAGAAACACTGCTCAATCTCATGTTCCTGAGAATTTGAGACTCCATCTTTCCCGAGTACCTGGACAATAAAACTGTTGCTTAAAATGGTCGAAGGTTTAAGTTCTAAGTGAAGTTCCTGTCCAAATGCTGAAAATTTGTAGTGCAAGGAACTCTTTGAACTCTGAGTTGATCTCTTTTTCCTAGTACTGTGCAAAACATCATGCGAAATGTACGATCCACTGGAATCCACTTTGACAGGTGTCACAAATACATAGTCTGTAACAATAAGAAGTTAGCCATCAGCTTTTGTATCCAACAAGTAAGGTAAGCGTCATTCTAATATAGCAAGCACTGCGTTTTCACTATGGCATGAAGCACTCCCTCGTTTAGGAATGGCCCGAAAGCTCTGCAGGCTATGTGTGTATAGGCTTGGCTGCATAAATTCATCCCTGTAAGTCGCACAGGCTCTCAAGCAGTGTTTGTTTCCTTTCTGCCCCACTGAGAGGTACAGACTAACTAGCATAGCTGTGAACATTCCCACAATCGCTCTGCTGAAGACATTTGTCATCACCAGCAGATCTGTAGATTTTCCCCTCCCCCTGTATTAATTGCTGTCAAATGTGAAGGCTGCTCTGATTTGAGGTTTTTTTTTTTTTCCCCTTTCCCTAAGAATGCAGCAAATATTGTATCACTGTAGGGGTAACCATGACTGAGACTTTGTAGAACTGTACCACTTGTTCAAATGGATTAAAGGATTAATTTATTAATGCCTTAACTGAGTGAGACCTCATCTCTTTGTAGTGACTCGATTAGACTGGGTTTCAAATTGTAACTGACCTTCAGCAGAAAGAGATTACATCCTACCTAATAACCTTTAGTCAGCCATTGCTAATTGCATGTCAAAGAAGTTTATTGTTTTGGATAAAATATGTGAAAAATTACAAAACTATTTGTGAGGAGAAGACTAAGATCTACTCAGAACCACCCAAGAAAGGAAAAAAATAAGAGGTCATGATTCAGCTAGCTGCATAAGCAGGTGCCTAGCTTGAAGTACCTTACCACTGCTGTTGACCCAGCCACACAGGGATTACTTATATCCTGGAAGCTGCGTCTGAGTTTTAGCCGTTTGCTGAACTAGGACCTTTGCACCTATTCCTGGTTATATGAGTAATTATGCTGAATAAACTGCTTCCCAAGCCCATTTAATTTCTGAGCTGTATTTCTCTGCAAATACTTAGATGCCCATATATTTGACAGTAAACCAAGTCATTTCTTTTCCTGAATTGAAATAACACCGTTAAAAAAAGACACACTCCCCTCCTTCTTGTGTTGTAACAGATGTTGCAAAAACTATCAATCTCTTTGCCTGGATAGACTTTATTGGACACACATTAAGCTGAAAACATAACCAGTGATAGGTTGTTTTGCCTTAGACAGTGGAAACAATACATCAAGAACTTTCACTTTCCTCAAGTGGTGTTAATCAACGGCAGAGTTGAGGACGCTAAGCAGGCTGGTGGCCAAAAAATGCAAGCAGCTGCTGGAGAGAGGGAATCCCCCAGCGAGCAGATGATAGGGTGCCAGAGGGTTTTCCTTTCTGCACCCTGGTGTGGTTCTCTATTGTACTTTGTTTCCACTCGCACCCAATAAAAAGCATATACTGCACTTCAAACTTCCCAAAGTCATCAGCATCTAAGTGTTAGTCTCTGCAACCTGGGAACAAACAGCTCCTGTGCTCCCACTCACACAAGTCCCTTCTCTCCAGGTTTGTTTTCCCTTAGCCTGCATTTGCACAGCTTCTTCCGCTCTCCCACCCAAACCTTTTCATTACTTTTGTCTCACTGCTCCCATAATGGATACATGAGGTTTTGTTGTGGCTACGTACACATTCATCTTTCTAATCACACATGTAAACGTGGATGTATTTACTATCTCATTCATTTGCTTTGCTGTTACATACCGTTCCTTTTAGCTTTTGCAGGCAGGGCTTAAAAAGTTAATCTCTGCCCATAGTTAGCTATTTTACAGCAGCCAACTTGCTTTCACTTTATGTTCCCCGAATACTGGGGCTACTTCCCTTTAAATGCTCAGTCCACCAGAAAAAAGCATCCATGCAAATGTTCATATACACAGACACAGAAAGAGCTATACAAACCATGGTTCAATTCACTGATGCTGTCACTGGTTAAACTTGCTGCATGAGACATGCAACAGAGGCAGCACAGCTGAAGGGTCTGCAAGAGAAAAAAAAAAAAAGGAGAGAGAGAGAGAAAAGGAGTATTGGGCGAGATTTACTTGACAAGGGGAGGCAGAAAGACAAGGCACCAGAAACTGTGCAGTAACCTGGTATGAAAGTACACTAGGCGACTGCAAAAGAAAGTGCTCTCGACCTGCCTTTACAGCGCTTCCAAGCCACGGGAGAGTCGGGAATTGCATGGAGCTGCCGCCGAGAATCGCAACAGGTAAAGTCCAGCCGACCAGCAGGAGACAGTCCATGTTCCGCCGCGCACCTGGGGCGCTACCTGCTCCCCGAAGCCTGCGGCGGGCGAGCCCGGCTCCCCGGCATGGTCACCTGGGCTCTGCCCCGCAGCGGCTCCGGC